CATTTATATATATATATAATATAACGGGTGATGCAAGTAGATCAACTTTTTTCAATGGCCTTCGCGTTCAGTTTTGTTGGGTTTCATTATGGAAAGACGTAGCCGTAGTCGATTCTTCGCCGTTCCCAGCAACTCGGACTGACGCATAGAACGACTTGGCGCATTTTACGACGAAATCTTAATTGAAAGCGCGCAAAATACAGCATGTACAAGAAGTTAAACTTTGTAAGAGATATCGCTTCGCTCTATGGGTTCTTCAAAATGACTTTTGTTCAGCGATCAGGTTCAGGTTCTGGCTCAACTGGTATGTAAACAAACAGAATCATCGATTCATATTTCTGCAAAAATGATGCCGGTGCGAACGTAATATAATCAACTATTTGTTAGCCTGAAGTTGAAGTTCGTGATCTCAGCGACATTTCAGCGACAATTTATGAATTTATTGAGAGAACACTTCGGTGTGCAGATAATTTCACATGTTATGCCGGTTGATAGGCTACCAAAATATGTGATATACATCATTAGACTTTTTTCCTGTGGGGATATATAAAGTCAAAAGTCTATGTGGACAATCACTTTTCGATGTGGGGCTTGGATCAAAACATCACGCGTCTCACTCAAGAAGTCATCGAATATTGGACTCAACGGATGGACCATATGGGACGTAGTCGAGGCTAACATTTAAAACAAATAACTTTCAAAAAATTAATGCCAACGAATGTTCTTTCGAATGATAAGAAACACTCCTCACTAAATTTGAAGTTTTTATGTTTTTTCTTTAAAAGATTGGGGAACCTCGAAATGGATAACTCTTTACTTCATAGAGTCTCCGTTCTTTTCGTCGGAGTGTTACGAACTTCTTGGCAAATTTATCTGTTGCGTATATGAAAGTCCAATTGGATAATTATACAATATTCATCTTCGCTATTTAAAGTAGTTGCCTTTAAATAAGATTACAAAAAATATATTTCATTTCGCAGTCATTGACATTACCAAACTAATATTTGATGTGATTTGCTGCTGGATTACATTGTTAGCTAGCACGCATTGCCGCTCAAAACAAATTATAATATCTGAAAAACACCTTGACAGATACTGGGCCGAACTTTTGCTAGTGATCTAGTGGGTTTCAAGGAGCCTACGGTCAATTAAAGGCTTCTTGAATGAATGCATATATGCAGGTAGCAACACTGGTTGCAATCCCACTGTCCTTTCAAACACTTAAGCTTCACTTAATTTTGGAACTTTAAGCCTTCTCAGTTTCGAACATACAATGCGCCGAGTGGTAGTCACACACGAAAAGCACTAAACTACCGAACTTAAGGTAAATATGTTTGGTATGTGAAGTCTAGTTTTGTTATAAATGAGGTTTGTTAGTTGTTATTTGCCACCGAATACGTTCGGTGGTGTCAATAAACGTTATTGGTTGAATTTCATTAGCGCCTAGACGAGAAAATCCCACTTAAGTGGCTCCATTTAGTCATATTTATTTGTGGTCTTTTGTGTTTATTTTGGGTAACAAGTAGCAGAGCCACGCTTGAGTACTCACTTCCGGCTAATCAAATTGAGATTTAAGCGCAGACTGAGCAACAATCACACACGCATTCACGCGGTGCAAGTGTATATTTCACGGTCATGGTTAATAGCCGTGGCTTTGCTGGCGGTATAAACGGTTTTGTAATTGTTGTAGTGTCTTTATTTGTTGCGCTTACGGCAAGGTCGTATACCAAAACATGGCATACACATGCAAACGTGTGTACGAAATGAAGAAAGTTAATCATCTTAATGGTCATGATAAGCGGCGCCGAATGACTGACGCCTAAATAGCTCTTGGCGCCCTACCGATTCCCAACAGCACCAGCAGAAGCGGTGTCTAAAAGATTAACATAAATTTGTAATTATGTATTTTTTGGGGTTTATTGTTTTGTTGTATTTTGCGCTGCCCACGCTGCGCCTTAAACCAAGTGTGCGTGTGTGTTTTTTGGCGAAAAGTGGGCCAGAGCAGTTTGGCGCTCGGCGCTTTCACAATCAACCCAACAGTTGACCATGAAGTCTTTGTTGTGGTATGAAAAATAGTAAAAAAAAAAGTTGAGAGTCTTGTAAAATTGATCTTCACTTTTGCCAAATAATCGACGAAAATCATTAAAAGAAAACAAGCTTTCGAACTAAAATATTTATGCAAAGTCACTGGCCATTACAGAGTTGGCGCGCAACGCTTGATTGTGTCTTTGTCACCAGTTGCTTTGTTATTGTTTCGCATTAAAATTTTTTTTTTTTACTCCTGATTATTTTTTTTCCAATTTTTTTTTCTTTTTTTTTTCTAATTTTTGGGTTTTGCCTTTTACCAAGTGTTAATAGTTGCACTCACTGATATTTTGCTAAGCGTCACAAAAACAACAGCAACGAAATGAAATGAAAAAAGAAAAGGAATTAAAATATATAATATTTCTCAACATGACGGATGTTTTTGACGCCCCTTGTGCGGTGAACGGCGCCATCTTCTTTCAGACTGGATAAGGAAGTGAAGCAAATGGGTCTGGTAGTTAATGAGGGTAAGACGAAATATCTCCTGTCACCAAACAATCAGTCGTCGCACTTGCGACTTTGCTCCCACGTCACTGTTGAGAGTCATAACTTCGAAGGCGTGGATAATTTCGTTTGGAATCAACACAAACAACAACGCTAACCTCGATATCCAACGCAGAACTCTTGCTACTAGGTGCCACTTCGGACTGAGTAGACAAAATTGAGAAGTAAGGTGCTCTCTCAACGAACAAAGACCAAGATCTACAAGTCACTCATCATCTCCGTCGTGCTATGTATTGTAGAGGCATGGACAATGGCAAAACCTGCTGAGTCGAAATTACGAGTTTTCCAGAGAAAGGTTCCATATATATATACTATATACTATATAACATATAGTAGTTCCTGGAATTAATAGACAGCGGCTACTCTGGCTGGGTCATGTCGTATGAGTGGGCGAAAACACTACAGTTTTGAAAGTACTCGACATAGTAACAGCTGGGAGAAGCAGATGAAAGTAAGATCTTCACTCCTAGGTGAAGAAAAAACTCGAACACTCGGAATCTCCGATTGGCGCGGAGTAGCGAAAAGCATGAACGACAGACCCACTGTTATAAACTCCGACCATGTAAGCGGTGTTTACGCCAATGAAAAAGAAGAAGTAGTGGTCATTTAAACGCAATCAAGATTTCCCCAATTCTATAAAGGTCCGTCTAGAGTAGTCGAGGTTTGATCTTAGTTCCGGCTTAGATGCCAATTAAAAGAATATGTTTCGTCAGAAAGCTCTTTTTACATTTTGCTTGATCAACAGAGAGTTTTCATAGACTCCTTGTGCTAATGTCTAGACAGAGTTTGATGTTTTGGATTTTTACAATTAGTGAAATATTCAACAAACAAGTTCCATTAAATTTTTGTGTAAATCAATTTTCTGCTGCCGAAACATTCAGAATGTTGGAATGGAATGTTTGTTTGTCAAAGAGGATCAAGAACGGTTTGACGACAAACCATAAAGGGACTGGTGCTTGAGAAACGGCAATTAACCGTCAGAGATTTTGCTGGCATGATTGGTATATCGGAAGGAGTAGTGAAAACAATTTTGAAAGATTATTTAGTCTGAGAAAAGTCAAAGCAAAAAAAATCACTAAATTTTCTCGAAAAACAATGTCGCGTTAATGTCTGTAAAACATTGCTTCCCGATAACCAGGATGTCATGAAACGTATTTTTACAGGCGATGAATCTTGAATCTATACTTACGACTTGGAAACAAACGATCAATTGGCCGCATATCTTGGCAAAGGTGAGCCGAACCGAAAAAAAAAACTACGTCAAGGCAGGCCACAAATCGACGATATGTTGACAGTTTTCGTCGATTATCGGGGAGTGGTGCACTGCGCATTCTTTCCGAACGGCTAATCTGTCATTATGGAATATTATTTGAGTTTTATGAGTCGTTTGCGTGAAGTTATTCGTAACGTTATTCGTAAAACAAGGCTGGAACTATGGTCCGACAACTCTTGGTTTTTGCAGCTTGATAATGCACCATCGCATACTGCATTGATTGTTCGTGAAGTTCTCGCCAAATTTTCAACCGATATCTTGTCGTTACCACCGCATTGATCTGATCTAGCTCCGTGCGACTTTTGGCTCTTCACTAACCTCAAACATGGAAACTGTTTTGATTCAATTGAATACATTGAACGTGGATCTTTACGCGCATTAAATACTATTCCGGAAATTGATTTTAACAACTATTTCGAGGGTTGGAAAAAACCTTGGCGGAAGTGTATTAGAGCAAAGGGGGATTAACTTGTGGAGGACGACACAGTCTTTTTAAGAATAAAGAATATAGAATTCTAAAATGAAGACAGGGGTTACTATTTACTGCTTATGGCTTTATCGTATAACAAGATACGATGTGCGAAAAAATTGCACACTAGCTTAAATCTTTTCGCAAACTATTTTTTGCACTTCAAAATTTACGTTTTATTATAGAATTACCAAAATCATTATTACATAACTAAAGTTTTCTATATAAGTACATATGTATATACATTCATATGATTGCAGAGTGCTATTATATTTAATTTAGCGCATTTGGTTCAACAACACAAAAGCGCTTTTGAGTGCGAAGGTGTGCTGCGTGCGCTGGCGCACATTGTGCCCAGCAACGAAATCGAATAATTGTGTGTAATAATGCTGGGATTTGAACTTGAAAAGCATGCACTGTCATAATTTGCAAAGAGCAGCAACAATAACAACACATTTAGGTGATATACACCGAATTAGAAAAGGTTGCCAACATTACTCCACTCGGTTACGCACACATACACATACACTGACAGTTAAATGTATAATTTAAAAGATGATGATTACGTTCGCCGCGCTGCCGCCAGCTACTGACCGCTTTGGCGCAACCGAGCTGACGAATGCAGATGCCGCTGACCACAACGATCAATAGCAATCGAACGGTCGAAGGTGTAACGTTTGCGCTTGCGCTGTGCAGCGAACTGATTTGCCACTAACAACTAACAACAAAACGAAACGCGAATGCGACAAAGATTAATGTGTATTTGAAAATCTGTGGAAAAATTCTGTTTATTAGTACGAATATATTAATACAAGAAGCATACAAGTGAGAAATATTAAAAAAAAGAAAAATAATAATAATAAACAAAAGTAAGTGTACGATTATTCAAAAGAATAAATTATTTACGAAAACCTTAATTTCATTTGCGAGCTGTTCTAAAATTTTCTTACAAAAATGTGCATTATTTAAAGAAATACAAAATAAAAACTAAAAATACTTTTAAATCAGAGTTTTACTACAAAAAAGTGATATCAAAACAACGATATATTATATAAATGACTGTAAAAAGATTCGTGCTTTCAAAAGCATTAATTATAAAAAACTAAATAATAAAATAAAATAATAAATTAGTGATTAT